ATGCTCCTCTGGAGACTGTGCATTTGCTACTGGTGTCAGCGCTCAACGTCGATTGACGATCAATGTCCGTAAACTGTACCACGCTGCTCCAGGGTAGGCGTATTCTCGTCGATCCGAATCACCACATGAATGTCTCTAAACTTCAGCCAGGTTCTCTCTTGCTTTTCTATTTTCACCTTTTTTTCTTTATATTTCTTTTGTCGAGATGTCTGTATTGTACGCTTTGCAAATGTCAGCATTGCCGTTTGTATTTGCATTGCTAGGTCTCTCTAGTGGTCATTTGCCGAAACTCTTCTCTTGGTTCAATTTTTCATTCCATTTTCGCTACGGTTCTGACGTTTTAGCAGTAAATTTTCTCACATTTCCGCCTCTGTGACTTTTCGTCTTCATATCTCCTTATCCACATAACTATAACCTGTCAGAAATGTGCTACATTTCTTATCTTCCTTTTTATCAATTTTCCGAATGAAGAAAGTTGTCTACTGACTGTTTCGTGTTTATCCTTGTTTCTCGCGCACAAACAGAACACGTTCCGTTTTTTTCTTTTTTCCTCCAACTCCCTTAACTGTCGACCCAAATAATCTGCCATTTATTGTACAAAATGATCGTGCATCCCAGCATGCCTCACGACTTTCGTTGTGAAATATACCATTGTTATCGTTATTGTTATTGTTAAGATATCTCAATCGCTGCTCATAGCTTTCCCCCCTTTGCCCACTCACTATTCGGGTAGCCAGGCTCTGCACTCTTTCTAACCATGATACATCCTTCCTGTAAAACGATGCCCATGCCTGCACACAATATTCCATGTGTGGGGGAACAATCAAAATATACCGAGGGACAAAAGCCTCAGGCCTTCTGCGTGTTACTGTGACACACAACCTGAACAGCTGCCCTCTATCCTGATTAGCAACCTTGGAGCACTGTGTTGATGGTTCAAAATCTTGGGACATAAGAAACCCTAGATCCTTCATCTGGGGAGCCTGCTGCATGGAAGCTCCATTCAACGAGTTTACCTCCGCTCTCGTTGCTAAGAGCCGACACTTGTTTAGATTCACTTAACCGACCATCGATGGACCACGTCCAGATCCCTTTGCAGGCTTAAGCCTGTCATTTTGACATCATCAGTAAACAGGAATCACGGATTTTTAATATCCTGTGCCAGATCGTTGATAAGTATGAGAAAGAGAAAGGGGCCTAGCACTGAGCCCTGGGGAATCCCACTTACGACCATCCCATGCTTAGAAATGCAGTCACCCACCTTGACCCGGAAGGTGTGATTACTCAAAAAGGCTACAATCCAGTCCCTTGCACTGCATGCTGTCTTGAAGTCTTGAGGTGATGCATAGGTTTCAGGCTGTTGCCCAAATGTCCCGAGTCCGTGGGTGATATCTGTATTTTCTTTTCGTTCAAACCTTTTCTAGAATAGAGACTACTGAAAAGGCATTAGTAGGTTTCTCCGCTCGAGTCGGGAAATCAAAGGATATATTACGAACTCTCCTTTAAAACATTTTTTCTAAGGTTTACTTTTCTCGGTGGTCAGTAGATAAATTCAAGTGACGGTCAAGACGACTTTTGAAGACATCCTCACTGCGGGTGCTGACTATCTCTCCTGGAATGGCATTTCATGAGGATTTCATCCTGAAGGTAAAAAATGAGGCACACAGAGTGGTTCTCGGACGGGGCTTGAAAATGTTTTTGCTATGACCTCGGGTAGGCTGAGTCAGCAATGATGAAGAAGGTTTCGACAGTACCCGTGTCAAAGAGATGGTAGAGGAGGAATAGATCTCCCCGAATGAGCCTGATTTCTAACGGATAAAGGCCCAGTTGTTGATGTCGCGTTGGGTGGAAGAGGTCCCTCAATCCAAGGACGGACATTGTAGAGGCCCTCTGGACGCGCTCAGGACAGTCAGTATCTCGCATGAGACCGGAGTGTGCAACTTGGCTTCCGTGCTCTAAGGGAGGGCGGATGTACGTTCCGTAAATAATGGGAAAGTCACTTCGGGTAGCAGGTGGGAACCGCCTACCGTAAAAGGGTGAGATGGGTGACCATTGAATAAAACCCCAACACACTTGTCATAGTTGACTGTAAGATTCCGGTCCAGTGACCAGCGTTTAGTAGCATCATTCAGGGCCTGTAAAATAGAGGCGTTTGCATCC